AGATTCTCAATCCTATCTCTATCTAGCTTAAAAATAGCCTCAAAATGGAGACCATCAAGTTTGGGCCTCCAAACTAAAGGCTCGGTATAAAGCTTTTGATAAAAGAAAGCAATACCGTTACGCACCTCTTCCTCTCTCCACAGCTCCTCGCCATCCACCTGAATTCTTCCTATATGATTACTCCTCCTATGAGCGTTAGCTAACCGGTGGAAGAATCTTGTGTTCCGATCTCCTTCCTTTAGCAAATGAGCCCAAGATTTTTGTTGCCACGAGATCTCCTCCATACTAGCAATCTCAGTAAGAACCGCCTGACAAGAGGCTCTCCTGAAACGTAGAAATTCCACATCCCCTCCCCGCCTCCTCAAGACGATCAATCTCAGAAAAATCAGCAAGTACGCTATTCTTCCTCCATTCCAAATTCCCGAAGACATCCTTGTTCCACTGCTTAAGAGCAAATTTGAGAGCCCTTAACTTCTTTGTAATTGTGAAACTGGGCGATCCTGAAACAATTACTCCCTCCCACCAAGATCTGACTTTCCCTTGGAAATCTTCCGCTCACAGCCACATATTCTCAAATCTAAACGGGGATCTTTGAGAACATAAACCCCCACAATCCAAGACCAAAGGAACATGATCAGAGGTGACCCTTGCTAACACTGCCTGAACAACATCCGAGAATTTCTCTTCCCAATCCCCGGAAATTAAAAATCTGTCCAGTCTTGAAAGAGTGATTGGATCCCTACCATTTGACCAAGTATAGGTTGCACCTTCCATTGGTAAATCAACAAGAAGATGCTCATCAATAAAATCAGAAAATTGATCCATTTCCAAGGATTGTCTTCCCCTTGTAGACCTCTTTGACGGGGACCTAACAGAATTGAAATCCCCTCCCAAGCACCAAGGGAGAGACCACAATCCTTGGACATGGCAAAGCTCCTCCCAAAAGATAGGTCGCTCATCATCAACAACCGGTCCATAGACTCCAGTAAAAACCCATTTGAAGTTGTCCTCTTTCATCTTAAGCACACAAGATACAGAAAATCTCCCCATCCAGATGTCTGTTCGAGTTAACCATCTACTATCCCACATGACTAATATCCCACCCAAAGAACCTATAGCATTCAAGGCCTCCCATTCCACAAACCTTCCTCCCCACAAACTCTTAACCACCCTGTCAGAAATGGATACCAACTTGGTTTCTTGTAAACAATCAAGCTGGGCACCCCACTTCCTTAAAGCTACCTTCACCACCTTTCTCTTGTTCGGATCATTAAGACTACGAACATTCCATGTAATGATTTGTAGCTTCATTATAAACTAGATAAGATAATCTCCCCTCCACCCTTCTTGAGACTCCTGCTCCTGGTTCTTCCCCTTTCCTTCGCCACTCCTCCTTTCCTTTCATAGTTGACTTCAAAATGAGATTCTTTATCTCCTGTACTCCTTTCCAAGACGATAAAGGCTTCGTGTTCATAACTTCATTGGTCACTGCAACCTCTCTCCCTTCCACAATTGCTTGAAGGATAGATAATGTCTGATCGTCATTACCTTCTGAAGAGACTCCCAAAAGCTCACTAGTGACTCCAATATTGTCAACTACCCAATCTTTCCCCTTGTTAGCAACCTGTTCGTTGGGTCGCACCATAGCCAGTGGTACCTCCTGTAGGATTTTAGAACCATTCTCCACCCAGGGTGTAAGCTCATTGGAGCAAACCTGTTGGATAGAACCCAAATCATCGAACACTTACTCTTCCAGCTCCCTGTTATTCTTATAAAAAGAATCAGATTCTGTAACAAAATCGCCCATCCCAGCGAGTCTATACTAGAATCAGTCTCGTCAGCCCCTGTATGAGGCAGGCAGTTAAGACCTTTTAGTGCAACACTTAATCGAAGCTCTTTAAGCAAAGCTACGGCCTCTTCATTAGACAACTGAAAATGCAGGTCTTTGCCCACACAGACTGTAACCCCTTCAGATAATTTCTTGACTGCATAATCTGCAATTTTCATCTGCCTAGAAACGCCAGACTCGCTCTCTTTCTTTCCTTCCGTAATTAGCCCATGCAAAGAATCAGTTCCATTGTTCGTGACAGTCAACTCGCACCTCTTCTCCAATTCCGGCTCAACACCGGCACCCCCTCAACACACAAGAAGGGGTAGAAGAAGAGGATGGAACATTAAAATTTTGAGGATGTGAAATTGATGGCGTACCTGGAACATTAGTAGAAATCCACCTCTGCTTCTCTTTTCGAGACCATCTAACTCCGTGATGATTTCTGTTAAAGTCCCGAGACGAAGACCTGACAATTCTTCCTTTTGGCTGTAAAGTATCAGAGAGAGATGAAGATGAGATACCTGCACAACATTGAGAATGACGAGAACCCTTCTCAATAGGACCTCCACCAGTCACGGCGGCAGATAAGTTCATCCATCTCCTCTTCTCCGGTGAATTCCAGAAGATTGCAGAGGTATCATCAAAACGACGCCTCTGTAAGTGGCTAACTCCTTTAGAAATAGGTAGGCTGGGCTTAGAATTGATAAAAGAAACTAACATTTTATTATTGGGGCCCCTCAAAACCTTTCTCTTCAGGTTACTCACATTTGGTCTATAACGTGAATTGGCAATGGGCTGTGGGCTAGGCTTGTTCTTAAAAGAAAGAGGCCCCCGATGAACAGCCCTCTGCATCTCCTGTGGGCCGTGATGAGCAAGCGGCCCATTTGACGAAATAGGCCCGTAACCCGCTTCAGATCCACGCTTAGGCCCATTAGAATCCGCAGCATAAATATCTCCTTTAAAGCCACGATCTCTGCCACGTGGTTGGTATCCGTTAGCGCGGATATTACGAGGGAAGGTAAGGCGGTGACTAAGGGCTTGATTGATGGCCCCTCTACGCGCTTCTGGCGCGTGAATAGGCAGTCACCTCTTTCCTTCGACGTCGTGGTAGATCTGTACGTTTCGGTGACTACCTTCAGTTGCAGTAGCCGGAATATGTGAACCCTCCCCAACGCCATAGTAAGATTTCGGAAGAATATGAGGTGTTATTTCCTTTATCAAGTTGACCCTGTAAGCCACTCGTTGGTCCTCAACAAAAAGGTACTCCGGCATCACTTTTCCGACGAAAACATAGAGGAGAATTCGCTGTCCACATGCTGAGACGTCCGCCTCAACACCTTGAAATCCACCACATAAGTTCCCAATTGCTTCAAATAACTTGCTGCACCAGAGATGGAGGGGCAAACCAAACAAAATCACCCTTCGTATTACTCGTTCTTTTACAGTAGAACAGCCGGCGGCGAAGTACCAAATGTCGATGGATAATAAGGCGTCGCCCCATCTCTTACTCCCTTCATCCAACACCCTTAAGGCCTCAGTCTTCGATGGAAACCTGACAGGAGCAAATCATTAGGTAAAGGAGACACTTTCACCCCACATGAAACCTTCCAAGTTTTCGACGCCCACTCCTCAATCCCTTCTAGACACCCCACGTCTCTGTCAAAGCGACCTACCAGACATGATCGCAGTACAAATTCACGCTCCTGGATGCTTTGATGATCAACCCTATAAACTAGATCATTGCCTATAGAGCAGCTTTTGATTTCCCCGTGAAAATTGAGACGTGGTAGGGTCACAACACTAAGATAGGATCGATGCATATCACGATTCCTTGCCAAAAAAACGAAAAACCAGTGACAGACACAAACGGTTGACGCTGGAGTGGAAGACTCTGACGTCAAGAAGAGAAGAGAGAGAAGAGAGAAAAGTCAAACATAGTCATCTATCTCAAAAAATTAAAAAGCATTGACACATTCTTGAATCACAATATGCGCTCTTGAAAGAAAAGTATAAGAAGAAATGACATATATGTATGCATGTGGACATGTATTCAAGTTATGTACACACAATCAGATGACTCCTTTGCAGGGACGGAACCAGCATGCCCCCCACCCGGGCCCATGCTGGCTCCGTTAATTTTAATTTTAATTTTTAAATTTAGGTATATAACCTAGAAAAATTTATGAAGTGCCCCCCTGAAATTATTATTATTATTTTGAAAAATCTCTTCAATTCTTTCGTTATTTTCATTTCTTCTTCTTCTTCTTCATTTTTTTTTTTTTTTAAATAAAATTATCTTCAAAATATTTGCATTCCCTTTATTTAATCAAACATTTATTTTTCCCTTCAAAGTTCTCTCATAGTTTTTCTTCTTATTTTCTTCTTCTTCTTTGTTTTTTTTTTGTGTGTGTGTGTGTGTTTTTTTTTCACTTGTTTTTATTATTGTAACTAAACAACTCTAATAATAATTTTAAAAAACCAATATTATGCGCAAATTAGTTACAAACATATTTTTGTTTCTGTATAAATCACACTACAAAAAAAAAAAAAAAAAAAAAAAAACTTTATTATGTCTGTTTCATATGAAATTGAAAATGCAAAATAGAACTTGTTGCCGAAAAGACCCTTGATGTCCGTATTTTATGTTTCCGAATTTATTTTACAGAGTTTTTCAAATTATTAAATACTATATGAATTTTGAATACTGCATCGTATCAAACAAATCTGTGGCTCCCTCCCAGCTCCTCTGTCATCTCCTACTCTCATGTCCACTCCTATAATAAAAAATTTATACATAATTTTTTTAATGGTTAAACCTTTTAATATTTTTGAGATAAGCTTCTAATTTGTTTTTAAACAATTATTCTTTTGCCCATGCTGAAAGAAAGTCTTATCAATGTAAAAGATTCATTAGTCACATGTTGACAAGTGTCTGAGCTGCATCGGTCGTTTGTCCGATATTAAGAAAATGTTTTCAAATTATAGACATGTTTAAAATGTGCGACACGTATCCGGAAATGTCAAAGAATTGTCAGTATCAGACATCTAATACTACTCCGGGGAAGTGTCTGGGCTTGGTTTATTACTTTATCATTTCTCTTTTGTTTCTATACACATATTTTAATTCAAATCATTATTTTGGTGGTTGAAGATTTAAAAACTTCTTCAGGCTTCTGTGTATTCCCTATTGCAAGCAGCAAGTGAGATTTCATCCCGGGAAGATGGAAGAGGCAGAGATATCAATATTTTTGTCCAAAGGAGGTATAAAATATAGTGTTTTTATTATTTTGATTGTAATGGCATAAAATAATGGTAATTATTTAATATTTACGTCAGAGCTGAAAAGACATGATATTTGTCTTGTAGAAGCCACGGACATAAAATTTCTGACCTCTTTGGATTTTAGACGGTAGTAACATTGATATTATGTTATTAATTCCCATTGGATGATTGGATCTATGGTTTAATGCAAGCTATTTTTTATTTTTTGGGGGCAGGTTTTGATCTTCAAGAAATTTGTTCCTAACATTGGATAAATCAATTTTCTGCTTTTATACATTGTTTTTGATTGAATTTTGAATTTTAACATGATTCACAATCAGATTTTATTTTAAATGTTGTGAGAAGATACTTGCGGTATCTATTGCTGGAGTGTAGATTGTTACGGAAGAGGGAGTTGGCTGGTTATTAGTTAAATACATGGTCATGTAACTGACACTATTAAATTTTCATCAAGCATATCTGCCTACCAGCACGTGAGTTAAATGCTTAGAATAAGGTTGTTCTAGTATTTTATCATGACAGCCACAAAATTAGTTGGTAATTTACTTTTGTCTGTTGTTGTTATTCTCACAGTTGAAACAATGAGGATATCTTTTCCCTTTTGAGACTCTACTTGTCCTTTCATTTATTTCTCTCTAATAAAAATTATGGAAGAAACATAAGTAGATTTCCCAAATAGAACAACGTTTTATGTATGAGGATGTCTTAATCCCATATCAGTTTGGCCATTACTGTTTTCTTAATTACTTTATATAGAGGAAGAGGTTGAAAGGGATGTTGCTATATTGCTAGTAGACCAAAAAAAGGATGGATGAATTGTACGAGTGCTATTGGAGTGTTATAATATGGGACTTCACTAGTCAAATTAAAGGGATTTTTTTGAGACAGCTGTAAGACTGGCCATGCTTTGTGGCATAAAAGTTAGACAATTGAAAAATAATTTGTTCATAAGATGATCAGAACTGAAATGCAAATGTTGAGATGGATGGTTAGCAAGTGAAAAATGGAGGTAACTGTAAATGAATATGTTCTTAAAAAAGTTGGAACCAACTGGGGAAAAATGAGAGAGAGTCAGTGAAAAAGGTTTTGCCATGTCTAATAGTGACTAGTCTGCATTACTGGAGGAGTCACATGAGCCGTTACCTTTTCTTTTGAGGATCTCTCCTCTCAAGTGGGGTCACTGATTTCCATTTCCACTTTTTATCAATGTTAACTGTGTAATTTTTTGTAGTTATTTATTTTTTATTGCTTCATACTTGATATCAGCCTTTTGGTGTGATCTAACCATTACATTACTGCAGTTTTTTACGGCAATCTGCTCATTTGGAGAGTGTAATAAGAGATAAATTATTAGCCCAGCAACCTGATGCTTATGAGTGGTTTTGGTCTGAGCAAGTTCCAGCTGTGGTGACCACTTTTGTTAATTACTTTGAAAGGGACCCACGCTTTACTGCCGCTACTGCAGTGTATGTACTTGCCTTTCATTACTGAATGTAAATTCTTATTAATTGCATGATAATTGCGAATTACTTTTGTAAAATGATGTTATTTTTTTTCCTCTTCCAGGTATGGAAAAGGAATGTTGTTGGGTTCAGGGAATGCAAGTGACATATCACTCCTCATGCTTGCACTGTGTTGCATTTCAGCTGTCACAGAGCTTGGCCCACCCAGAATTTCTTGTCCACAGTTCTTCTCCATGATTCCAGAGATAACTGGTAGATTGATGGACTTGCTGGTTGATTTCATTCCTATAAGCCAAGCTTACCATTATATAAAGGATATTGGATTACATAGAGAGTTTCTTGTCCATTTTGGTCCTCGAGCTGCGGAATGTAGACTGACAAATGATTGTGGAATGGAAGAGGTTGTATTCTGGGTGGGTCTTATACAGAATCAGCTGCAGAGAGCTGTAGATAGGGAGAAAATATGGTCGAGACTCACTACATGTGAAAGTATTGAGGTCAGCACTGAAATGTCCTCTAGGTTCTCCTATAAAATATGGTTGGCTCGCATATAATGTTAGTATACTGTACAAAGTAGCTGATAATGTTGATATGCAAAATGCTAAAATTCATACGGATGGTGTAAGCACATGTTGAAGATCCTGAAGTAGATGTAATGTTGACATGCAAACTAAAATTCATAGGGATGGTGTAAGCACATGGCTTGCATCCAGGAAAGTGTTGCTCTCCTTAAAATAAGAGCAACGATCACATTGAAAGTGCAGTGATTTAGTGGTTCAAGTTTTTAATGTTAGTAATATAGTCGGGACATATATTCTCATTCAATCCAAGCTTCACTTTGGGGAGTCCCCAAAATTTCCCTATTCAAAGCAAACAAATAACTTCTTTTGTCCTCTTTTGTTTTGGTCCTTTATGCTCTATAGGTTCTATTGCATAAGCAATCTCTAATCCTTTGAGCCTTGAATAGAAGTTGAGGGGGGCACTTAGATTGGTTTGATGGAGATTGAGGGTTAGATTTGTGGAAGAAGCGAGGGGGAGAACTAGAGAAAATTCTACTCTCTAAAAAATGTAATATAATTGTTGTACAGAGTTTACATAATGACTGAAAAACCATAACTACATGGTCTCCTTGAATTCAAGTTTCAAACTCCATTGTTTAAAAAAATAAAAATAATAATTTAGATGACTGAATTGCTGGAAAATTATATGTACATGATAATTGACATATAATATTGTGGATTCATTTTAAATTTATGCTGCAGAACTGATGAAATCACAAATAAAATTCTCCTAATATGATTAAACTCTGAGAATTCTGGATATGTTATATTTTTGTGATGGAAGTGCTGGCAAAACATTGAATGAAGAATTAATAGAAAGAAAAGGCTTAGCTATTTTTCTTAATTCTACTGCTTCTATTCTTAAATCTAAAAAGGGATGTAAGACTGCACCTTACGTTTAAGGTTGAAGAAATTTCTTTTATTTGCACTGCTTCAATCTCATATTGGATTAATATTACTTTTGTATTCTCCCAATACTTGTATTACATATTGTATATACCATATATCTGATTTAGATGCTTGTTTATTCCTTTCTAATTATTTAATGTGTTTAAATTTGTATTATATACCTTGAACATTTCATCTATAATTATTTCTTCATGTTAGAATAGGCTTCAGTTTCTAAACGAGAAATGTGAGTAAACATTCTGAAACATGCCAATTGAATTATCTATTTAAGGATCTCAAATTTGCTTATACATTTTAAAACTTTTCTATCCATGCTCTTGCAATTATTTTATTATGTCAAAGCTGCTCTTTTCTTGTTTTGGTTTAGTTAATACTGATCTCTGCAGGTGTTGGAGAGGGATTTGGCTATATTTGGATTCTTCATTGCTTTAGGAAGAAAAAGCCAATCCTTCCTATCTGCAAATGGCTTTGATGTTTTAGATGAACCTATTCAAAGCTTCGTAAGGTGCAAGTTTTTTATATTTATCTATTTCTACATATGTTTTTTAGTTACTATTTCTTGCTAAAAGTTTTGTAGTGCATTTAACTATCTTGCCTCTTTGAAGCAGGTATATTATTGGAGGCAGAGTTTTGATATTTCATTTTTTGATTAGTACTGCTGAAAATTTTGCGGTGCATTTAATTATCTACTCTTTTTAAAGCAGGTACCTTATTGGAGGCAGTGTGTTATACTATCCTCAGCTTTCCTCAATAAGTTCTTATCAACTGTATGTCGAGGTCAGAATGCTTTTTAGATATATCATCTCATAAGTGTTATGGTTTAAAATCTGAAAGTATGATCATGCCATAGGTAGTTTGTGAAGAGCTGGACTGGCTTCCTCTTTATCCAGGCAACATTGGTACCCCAAAATTCTCCCATGGTCATGGAAGTAAAACAAAAAGTCCTCCCAATGCTGAAGCCATCCCCAAAGTATTAGATGTTTGCTCTCACTGGATGCAGAGCTTTATTAAATACAGTAATTGGCTGGAGAACCCTTCTAATATCAAGGCAGCAAGATTTCTCACTAGAGGGTATTTAATTAACCTCATGGTTCTTTGATGATTGAAATTAGTGAGCTGCATCCCCAGTAAATAATTTCTAATGATTTGCTTTCTATTTTCAATGTTCTAGGCACAAGAAGTTAAGGGTGTGCATGGAAGAACTGGGGATACAAAAGTAAGTTGAATGAGGCAAAAACTGTGATATAGTCTCTCTCTCTCTCTCTATATATATATATTAATGTATATATATATATATGTATATCTCATGCGCATGCACGCACACACAAATGCATTTGCACATGCATACCCATGAGCACACAACTCTATCTCCTGTTTTAATGGTGAAGCGCACTTATGGCATTTAAGATTGGTGTTCGTAGTGGTACCTAGTCTGTGTCACTATAAAACCATCTAAAATAAAAACTATGGGCAAGGATTCCCGAAGTTGCTATAATCACTATCTGATAGATATGACCATAATTTATTACCGCATCATTTTTCCAAACTACATTTGAAACTCATTGCTTTGTTTTAAGACGACTTCACGTAAAGACGTGTTCATCTCAGTACAAAAGATGCGTATGACAAATCATATGATTCACATGGTTTTAGAAGCCTGAAAAGATAAAAATATTATGGGATTTAGGGGAACACAGTATATATCTGGTTTAATGCTAATATTTGGTTCTGTTTGTTTCCGGGGAAGTTTAGCTCTCATTGCTTTACTACAGATATAAGTTATAAAATGATGGGGAGCATCATATACTAGCATAAGGTAACTATAAAACACTTAATTTGGATTTCTTTGAAATCAGTTTCACTTTGTTTCTGAAAGATTTTATCCATGGATCCAAAAGACTAGCCAATCTACGAGTGGATCATTTCTTAAACATTTTAACTTCAAAAAGATAAATTTTAATTTTTTTTTTCTCATGATTTTTACACGGTTTAACCTAGAGACTTTTTAACTTTAAAAAAATCGAACATTAATATATTAATGTTTTGATTCTATCTTATTTTTATAAATAAAAAGTAAAAGACCTTCAAAATAGGTTGGTGTATTTTAAGTATTTGTGTGATTGTATCAGCTCATGATTAAAGAATTGAAAGGAAAACTTAGGAGTTGAAGCATTGGTCGAGAATCGAGACTTGAGAGATGCAAAGGTCTGGAAACACAATTACAAATATATATTTAATTTTCTTATTGTAAAATAATGGTTTCATTTTTTTTTTGATAAGTAAGAAATGTATAGAAAGCGCTCAAAAGGGGAGCGCGTCCCAAGGGAACAACAAACCAAAAACATACGCTAAGCCTTCAAAGAGGCCAAAAAATCGACAATCTCTTCCCTAGATCTAAGATCTCTCCTTGAAACCCAACAAAAAAGAATGGAGAGAATAGAGAACTTAAGAAAAGAAATAGTCCTCTCCTTTCCCTCGAAATATCTCCTATTCCTCTCGAGCCAAATACACCACCAGACACAAAGAGGCGTAGCCCTCCAGGCATCTCGGATATGAGCCCCCATTGAGTAACCTCTTTAGGCCTCAATCAACCCTCTAACAGATCCAGGCATGACCCAGTGAATCCCAAAAAGACCAAGCATCAAAACCCAACAGTCCCTAGCCATGGAGCAATGCAACAACAGGTGATCCACCACCTAATTCCTCCTTCTCAAATTATCCTGGGTTAAGATTTTACCCAAAACAGAGGTCCAAGCAAAGAAGGCCACCTTGAGAGGAGCCTTTGAGCGCCAAACTGACTTCCAAGGGAAAAAATCTCCAAGCTCATCTGAAAGACACCTGAAGAAGGACCAAACATCAAAACGGCCCTGAGAGCCAGAGGCCCAAATCCAACAATCAGAATCCGAAACCATTACATCTTGCCGATAAAGCAACTCCAAAAAACAAGTGGCATCCTCAATCTCCCAATCCTGAAAAAGCCGCTTGAATCGAACATCCCAAACCAGTCTTCCGCTATCAAGTTGATAACAGTTGATCATGGCTTGCCTATCCGTAGCAATCCTGAAGAGCCGAGGGAAAGCGAGAGCAAGAGAAATATCCCCACACCAAACATCCTCCCGAAAACTGATCCTCCTACCATTCCTGAGTTTAAACCGAACATGTTTGGAAAATAATGAAAATTCATCCCAACCCTTCCTAATGAACTTCCAAACCCCCACTCCCCTAGGGCCACGCACCTCAAGAGAACACCAATCTCCTCTACTCTCCCCATACCTACACGTAATAACCCTCCTCCACAGCCAATGTCTCTCCACCCCAAACCTCCACAACCACTTCCCAAGGAGAGCTTTGTTGAAAGGCAACAATCTCCTAAACCTCAAACTTCCAAATCGGCCTACACACTTGGTCCCAACGAACCAAATGAAACTTGAACTCCTCCCCTCTACCCCCCACAGAAAATTCCGCTGCAATCTCTCAATCCTCTCAGCCACAGAAGAAAGGATTTGGAAAAGAGAGATAAAATAAGAGGGAAGGCAGGAAAGGGTGCTCTTAATCAGAGTAACCCGACCCCCCTTGGAAATGTACTGTTTTTTCCAACCCGCCAGCCTCCTCTCAAACCTATTCACGATAAGATCCCACACCTCCACACACCTCGAAGGAGCTCCCAAAGGCATCCCTAAGTAAGAGATGGGAAAAGTGCCAGTGCAGCAGCCAAGGATACTAGCAAGCATAGCAATATCAGGGACCTCCCCAACTAGCACAAAAACATTCTTACCAACATTCACCTTAAGGCTGGAGACAACTTGGAACCAAATTAGAACAATTAGAACGCATCTTAAATAGTGAAGCTGGGACTCATTCGTATCACAAAGCACGAATGTGTCATCCGCAAACATCAAGTGAGAGATCTCCAACTGACTAGCAACATCTCTGCCCAACCGAAAACCTCTCAAAAAACCCAACTCCACAGCCCTCTTCAACAATCTACTAAGGGTCTCCATCATAAAGAGGAACAAAAAAGGGGAAAGCGGATCCCCCCGTCTCAAGCCCCTCGAGCTAGAAAAAAAACCCGTCAGAGCTCCATTCACAAGAATAGAGAACCGAGCACTGAAGATGCAAAAATGAATCTATTTTCTCCAACGAACACCAAATCCCATCCTCTCCATCAGGTAAAGAAGGAAGGACTAGCTTACATGGTCATACGCTTTCTCAATGTCAAGCTTACACAGAACACTCGGAACTCCACTACGTAATCTGGAGTCCACACACTCGCTAGCAATAAGAACTAAGTCCAGAATTTGGCGACTTCCCACAAAGGCGTTCTGAGAGTCAGAGATAATGCCATCCAACACTTTCCTCAATCTAAAAGCAAGGACCTTGGCAATTAAATTGTAGATGCATCCTACCAAGCTAATAGGGCGAAAATCCGGCCCCCCACCCCCCCCCCTCCTTTTGGGAATGAGAGCAATGAAAGTGGCATTCAAACTCCTCTCAAAAGAGCCCTGAGCATGGAAAGCATGAAAAGTATCCATCACCTCCCCTTTCTAACCTCCTCCTCCTTGCTTAACCACACCCCTTCCACTCGAATCCTCCCAATATTATTACCCCTCCTATGAGCATTGGCCAATCGATGGAAAAACTTCGTGTTCTTGTCACCCTCCTTAAGCCACAAAGCCCGAGATTTCTGTGTCCACGAAATGCCCTCTATGATAGCAATATCAGCAAATTCCGCTTGACACTCCACCCTCTTAGCCTTCAAGGAATCCGCCAGGGCCTCCTGACCCTCCATCCAATCAATATCAGCAATCTCAGACAATACCCGATTCTTCCTCCAAACAAGATTCCCGAACACCTCTTTGTTCCAAATCTTGGGACAATCCTTAAGAAGACAAAGGTTACCTGCGAGCGTATAGCTTGGGGTGCCAACCACCCCAAACCCTTCCCACCAGGAACGGACCCTCCCAAGAAAGCCTTCAGCACGAAGTCACATATTCTCAAATCTGAAAGGAAAATGACGACTGCGCAACCCACCACAATCCAACAACAATGGAACATGGTCTGAGATAGGACGAGCCAAAGTAGCCTGAACAACATCGGAAAACTTCTCCTCCTATTCTTCCGACACAAGAAAACGATCCAGCCGAGAGAGAGTAGGAGGAGAGCGACCACTAGACCAGGTAAAGAGTCCACCCTTCAAAGGCAAATCCACAAGCCTAGGAATCAATAAACGACAAGAAGAACTCCATGTTAGCCGTCCACCTCCCCCCCGTCGATCTCTCAAAAGGAGAACACACAACATTAAAATCCCCTCCAATGCACCACAGTAACAAGCATCTCCTCCTGATAACCCCCAGCTCCTCCCACAACAAAGGACGAACACTGTCCTCCGAAGGCCCGTAAACTCCAGAAAAGACCCAATGAAAACCATCCTCCACCAAAGAGAGAACGCACGAAACAGAGAAACTCCCGATCTGAGAATCCACCAAAGAGACCTATCTGTTATCCCACATAATAAGAATTCCACCTGAAGAACCACAAGCATCCAAGGTGCACCACTCCACAAATCTCCCAACCCAAAGGCTCCTCACAATCAAATCCGTCATCGAAGCAATTTTAGTTTCCTGCAAACGCACCACATAACCTCCCCCTTTATTAATTGCCGCCTTCATAACTTTTCTCCTCTACGGGTCATTGAGACCCCAGACATTCCATGATAAGATTCGTAGCATCATAGGGAAACAGTAGAAAATGCATTCCCTCCACTCCTCCCACTGTCCTTCTCCCTGGGCCCCCTCATCCTCTTTCATACGTAACAAACTCATTGGGACTCTGCACCTCCTTCCCTCCTAGCCCATCCTGAACCCCACCCCTGCTTCCCCCCCTATCCAAAATCTGAGAATTCAGCACATCATGGAACAAACTCAACACTTCTTCCATCCTACCCTCAAAAGATACACCCAACAAAGAACCCACCTCCCCACCCTTCTCCCTAAACCACTCCTCAAAATCTTCCATACCTTCAACAACTGCAGCACCCCCTACATCCTTCCCCCTGCAGTCCAACCACAGCCAAAGGAACAACCATCTCCACATTCGGCTCAAAACCATCCCATTGGACTGGCCCCTTATCTCTATCAAACGAAGAATATGAGACATCCTCCCATTCCTCAAGAACATAATTGGAAGGAGAACCAGAAGACCGCGGAGACCCAAACTCCTCTTTAGTCACAAACCCGTTCACAACCATGTGAGCCTACAGCTCCTTTAACAAAGTAGTAGCGGAAACCTCGTCCAGATTAATCCACAAATCACGCCTAACACATACAGAATCTCCCTTGCAGGGCATCTTGGGAAACCGAGAGGAATTCATCGAAAGGCCTTGCCCTCCAAAATGACTCAAATTCACGTCCACCTCCGACTCCATCTCAGAAATCGTCTCCAACTTTTTAGAAACAGAGGACATTACTCCCTTTTCAAGCCCCGAGCATCGTCTCGACACCCCATAAGAAGGGGAACAAAAGGAAGAAGATGAGTGATTCAGAAGAGAGAGATCAGGCGAAAGGTTGAGCATACCCGGATCAGAATTGGAATCCTTACGCTTCACCCACTTCTGCTTCTCCTTACGCGTCCATCTTTTGCAAACAACTGGAAGAAGAATCTTCTTCTTAAATCGCCGACGGTGACCTTGCACAGGTAGCTTAGCATGCCGTCCATTATTGAAGTACTCTTTAATCGGGCCCGAAGGCTGTGTCTCTAAGTCATCCTTAAAAGAAGACAACGGCCCAAACCTATTACCCACAACCAGCTCAGAGCCACCAGACCCAGACCCCAGCCCAACCTTTAACTCACGGCCCAAACCAGAGGACATGCCCAAAGAGCACCCAACATCCACAACTTGGGCCTCCTCTACTCTAACCGGTCCAAAAGAACTTGAATCAAAACTGCAATCCACTGAAGACCCAGCAATTGGCGCAAGAGAAGAAGGAACACCAACACAAGGAACAAGGCCCCTAATCTCCGGCCCAACAATGGGCCCATCATTAGAAGAGGCTTGCTTAGCCTTTCGGGCCTGATAATTTGAAAAAGAGTTTGAAAAAAACGTGGATACAACTGTTTCCTTTTGAGAACGGGCAAACCCTGCCTGCCAACCACGTGTCCTTTCCCCATGCCTTCCCCACCCATGCGCCATAGGAACGTGGAAACCACCTCGCGTTCTTCTCCGATCCCCTTCTGCAAATCCGGTCGACGACCATGATTCCCGAAACCTCCACCCCTCTGAAAAAACCGGAGACCTACTTGCCGTCCACGATCCGACAACGAAGGAAAGCCTTCTCTTCTCCTCTGATTGAAGATCCGTTTGAAACACTCCGTATTCTGGATCCAGAGCTCATTTCTCCACACCTTCCATTTTTGAAACTCAGCTAAACCCTTCTGTCCCATAGACTCCCATCTCAGCCACTCCTCCTCCTTTAACAAGTGTGAGCCGTCACCACCTATCCGTCGTTGGGACAAGCTCGGGGTGCTTCTCCTCCCATATAGCCACTTTGTAGCAGAAACTGTCATCGTGAATGAAGACAAAAGGAGGGCAAACACGCCCCACAGAAACAGTGATGCGAACCTTTTCTGCATCCAAGGATTCATCAGCGTCCACCCAAACAAAGCCACCACAAAGGTCACCGACTGTCACAAAGAGGGCATGACTCTAAAGGTGAAGAGGGAGGCGGTACAACGTCACCTTCTTCAGCCCCTGTTCTTTCAAAACCTCAGAACAACCCACTCTGAAACTCCAAGTGTCCACACGAAGGGTGGCCTTACCCCAGTCACGGCGACCCTCATTGAGCACACATGCTACCTCCGCCAAAGAAGGAAGACGAAAAAGGAACAGAGAATCCGGCAAAGGTGAAACCACCACCTCCGGGGAGACCTTCCAAGCCCGAGATGCCCAAGCAGCAATCTGCCCCCTATCACCCACATCCTTGTCAAACTTACCCACCAGACAAGACTGGAGATCCTCTTTCCTTCGGCCAACCGATTCATCATTCAAAAAAATTGAAGGTCCTCTGTATGTAACTGCAGATCTTACAGACTTGAAAAAGTCGAGGCAAACGCGCAACCTCCAAGAAAGATCGCATAGCAAAGAGAGAAAAAAAAAAGGCAAAAAAGGATCCGAAGAGGAACAAAAGAAAAAAGGCCCCAAAGAGAAAGAGAAACGCGAAAAAACGAGTAGCAGAGGATTTCACCGGAGTTTATGACTCTGGTGACTGGTCGGAATAGCAGATTCCAGCTGCATCTCCACTACCAGACCCACTCAAACCCCAAAACTTGTGCAGTTCATTCTTTCAATTTAGTTTTGAAACTTAATGTGCATTTATTTACATAAGACAGTAGTCACTAGCATACTCTTTCTCAAAGACGTGTGATGTAACGTATTATGTTTTACATTTTCACTATGAAGCATTTAAAATCTGAGAACTAAGAGTTGGAGCTTGGAAATTTTAGTCAATTAACTTCATCAATTAACTAAGAAATGTGAACGCGACAAAATTTGCATTTGATATGAACTTTGGGTAATAGTGCATGCCATTATAGCAATGCTACTCAAGACGGCATTTTCCCAGCTAGTTGGGTCGGCTATGTGAATTATAATTTTTCATTCTGCTCTAAGGCACAGCCTCAGTCAAACAATATGTTATAATATTTTTCTTCAATTACTCTACCCATGTACCCATGTTTTGGCATTTTTCTTCCCCCATCATTACCCGAGTCCTAGACTATGTCAATCGTCCTAATTGATTCACTCACTGGTACTCTTTGCACTTGTTCAATCCATCTTAATGAAATTTCTTTAATTTTATCTCCAGTGGGTGCTACTACAACCATTTCATGAATGTGTTCGTTTCTTATTCTATCATATTTACTCTTGCCATACATCCATCACAATATTCACATTTTTGCCACACTAATTTATGCATATGTAGTTCTTTAGTTTCCCAACATTTTGTACCGTAAAGAATGACTGATTTAATAACTGTTTTGTAGAGCATCTCTTTGAATCTTAGAGAAATACACCTATCACACAATATTCTAATCACATTCCATTTAACCCACCATGTCTTGCTTTTTTTATTAACATTATCTTCAATTTCTCCTTCATTGCGAATAATTGAGCCTAAATAGCTCAAATGTTCACCTTTTGGTATATCCTGATCATCAATCTTCACTATATCCCTCTTTTTATATCTAGATTTCTTTAAGTTACACTCCATATACTATAGTTTTTTTTTCTTTTAATCTTAAATCCTTTTAATACTAAAGCTTACCTCCATACCTCCAATTTAGCTCTTATTCTTTCTATAGTTTCATTGATTATAATATTATCATCAACCAATAGCATATATTTTGGAATATATTGTTGGAATCTCATCGTGAATGTGTCCGGTCTTTCCATCCCTTAATTTAGAAGTTTATATATAATCTGCTTCCCATATTTTGTATCTTATTTAGAAGAGAGATCACCACATTGTTGTCAGGGGCTTATTACTTATATAATGTTGGGGGCTTATGTGTAATTTCTGAAACTTGTTAGTATAAATACAATGTGGTGGAAGGATGAAAGTATTCTTTTCATTCTTTCTCTCTTTCCCCACCTCTCTCTCTTTCTCTCCACTCTTCCTTCTCTTCTTCTTCTTCATCTTCTTCTACTTTAATTGCTGTTTTGATTATCTCTTAAAGACAACACACGTCTATATTTAGTTTACTGCCTTAAATTTCCTTTTGGGTATTTTTGTAGTGCAGATGCCATGCGTATAATATCAGAATATGATTTCTTTTTCCTTTTGTTAATACGAAAAAGTTCGTCACTCTTGCAGACAGGTGTGATAGATGGAACTTGGCTTATTTAGTTATGAAGAGTGCTTAAACTAAACTCCCAAAACTATCATCTCATGCATGATATTTTTGGACCTGGTTACTGAAGTCGGAAAAATCAAACCTGAAAAGAGAACTTGCCATAACTAAGGCATTCCCAATTTCACTAAGTGATCTCTTGTAAATAACTGAGATTTCTGTCTCGCACAAATTTAACATGGTGAGAGGTGGTCAACGGGTTGGACAAAATCTGACATCAATCCAATTCAATCTGATTATGATTCTGATATAGATCCGTAAATTTAGCAAAAGATTGGTTTGTAGTTGGAGTTGACCAAATAAAGCATATGTTACGATAAATTCCTACTTGATTGTCCCCAAGGTATTTATATGGTTGTGTTGTTTGCTTGTAATGCATTTTTAATAATCATGAATATTGATCGGGTTATGCAAGGTTTTTTTTAAAGATTAGTAGTTGCAGAAAGTACTTGTTTAAGAAAATATGATGCAGGACTGAATTGATTGAAAGCACTGCTAAGCAATCTGTTGAGAGGAGTAGATCTGGAAAAGAGCCAGATTCTTTTGATAAGGTAGTCCTCAATCTCTACAAAAGACAGGTTTGTTTTGAAGTGCATTATTCTATTTGGATTGTGTTTATTTGTAAATGACAATGCCACTCTTCTCTTACTGATTGGACAGTGAAAAATAGGTGGTGTATTTTTTTGTTTGTGCAGCTTAGCTTGTTTCTCTTTTTCATTTCAACTTTAATCAATACTCCGATTTCCAGCAATCTAGAAAGACTTTCACCATTGGGCTGACATCCTAAGGGATTGAAAATTGATGTTATAGTTTTCAAGTAACCCTTTGTAAGCGTGGCTTTCACAGTTGTGAATCCTATGAGACTACTTCTAAGCTGTCAATCTTGTAGAACATTCCAATGAAGATGTTTTCATCTTCTCATTGGTGCACTGTATCACAAGATGATTCCCTAAGAGCAGCATCACTTTGCTGTAAATTTGGCGGGATATTAAAGCGGTCCATAGGTTTTATCTTACATTGGTTCCTCCTTTTATGGAAAGTCAGTTTCATTAGTAGTGAGATAAGGAACTCAATAGTTAGGACAGATGGAGGATGAGTTGGATAGGAGTAGGAATTCAAAGGTTAGAACTTCGGTAAACCCTTCTGATGGTGCAATGGCACGGGCTTTTGGTTTTAGGCACTGGAAAGTGTTGAAGAAGCTCTGATAAGGCTAGAGGAGTTGCTTCAGGAGCTGCATGTATCAAGCTCCAATTCTGGAAAAGAGCAATTAAAAGCTGCTTGTTCTGATCTTGAGAGCATAAGGAAACTTAAGAAAGAGGCTGAATTTCTTGAGGCATCTTTCAGAGCAAAGGCAGCTTCTCTTCAGCAGGTACGTTTCTCCAGTTCATTTGATTTAAGGAATAAAATGTTCCCTAGAATGATTTGAGTGCCAAGTGCTGCACACCTGAAATATCTCGCCTTTCTCCTGATGTAGTAAATTATTTGTTGTTATAGAATTTGTGGAGTTTTGTTTTGGATGAGTTGGAAAACAATTGGCTTTTTCCTGTATTGTTTTGATGCAAGAATTTTCTCATTGCTACCTGGGACTTTGTTATCTTTTGCTATTACGAATAAATTAAATTATAAAAATAAATATTTTTAATTGTAAATGCCAGATTATTTTCCCTTACAAGAATCAAAAACTGGTTGCTGATCAATCTGTATCTGTTGGATATGGAGTTTGCGTCAGTCTGCTTCTCATGTATGTTTACCTATGTATGTATGTATCAATGTATATCCACATACAACAAACACTGAGAAATGATTTCCCATTAGATGAATAAAAAACAGGCCATCATTTTAGGCTTCCATATCCTCTTGTAACTGTTTAGCCACCCCATTGATGCAACACCAATTGCCTTCTATACAGAGAACTCAACTCCTGTGATCTAGGAGCAGATCCAAGTATATTGTTAAATGGAAAGGTTCATTTAGTTGGTAATGAGCTTTTGTTTTAACTACAGTGCATGCATATCTATGACAGCAGTGAGTCCGGATCCTCTGGTACTGCATCCTGCGGTCCGCATCACACACACACACACACGTGTGAGCGGTCACGCAAGTGTGTGTGATGTGGACCGCCGGATGCAGTACACTTGATCCACTCATGACACAATTATGCTTCTTTTTACCATAAAAAAAGAGTATGTGTTGGTTTGTCCACCATGATATGCAAACTAGATGACAATTTAAGTGCTCAAGCTCGGGTTAGTAGAATTGTGTTAATGCTCAAACTCGGCTTGAGCTCGACTAGACTTTCCGCATCCTTGCTTGAGCTCAGAGCAAATTTTGACCTAAAAACCTGAGGAGGAGCTAAGCTGGGTTCCTCTCGGCTCGGGACAACCAAGTGTAAATTTTGAATATGAATTCTTTCTCTCCAGTCATAACAAAGGAAAGTACAGATGTTTTTAATCCTTTCAAGCTGAAACTTTCTGAGCATTTTCACCACAATGCAAAATTCCAAACAGCTTCAATTGTGACATCGTATGACAACTACTAGAAGTTTTGATAAAGATTATTGATGATTTATTTTCCATGAATGTTGGTTACATTCAAGTTAAGATTGTCACATCATATGAAAACTCCTAGAAATTTTGATAAAATTTACCTGTGTTTTTTTTTTCTTTTTTTTCTTTTTTTTTTTTTTTTTTTTCTTTCCCCAAGAGGGTTGGTATCTTTTTACCTCTACAACTCAACTCAACAAATCCCTTTTCTCGAATTTTTGAAGTCGGCTACATGAATCCGATTTTGGCCCTGTACTATCTGTTAAGATCACGAGTTCATATATAAGTGACTACAATGCCTTTTTATGATGTACTGAATTCCTCAATATCACTCTTTCTGTGGACCATTTCACTCTCTATCGTTTTAATAGTAGTTATTGTTGCGCATGAGAGACCCCAAATTTTTTTTTTTTCTTTCTCGAAACTCTTTTTATGGTATTTATTAATGGTTATTAATGGGTAATTTTATATAGGAAAATCAAATCTAGTGGTATCTCCTCTACCTCCCAAAGGGGATGGTGAGGGTTCGAGTTCCCGTAGGGACAAATGGATGCATGAGTTTCTTGCCAATGAATTTTTTTTTTTTTTCTTTTTTTCTTTTTTTTCTTCCTAGCCCCTCCAAATTTGTTAAAAAAATACTACTATTATTTATGGTTACTTATCTATGGTTATTAACGGTAGTTTGCAAATGAAATTACTATTGTAACCATTGCCACAACATATTTGTCTTCAATTAATATATATACACATATTAATTGTTATGAATTCAATCTCAACAATCTCATTTATTGGCTGTCAACTATTCTCCTCTCTCTTTTTTTCCCCCTTCTCATATCATTTATAGACATGGTCGTAAAAAAAAAATCGTCACAATTATTTTATTTTATTTTCAAAAATTTAATTTTATATTACCCCTCCACACACGCACAACAAATGAAATTTTCTGGCTCCGCCCCTGCGCATGAGCAAACTATTTAAGTCTATTTTCTTCCATTTTAGGTCCAATAGTGCTCCTCCTACTGCCTTATGAATGTGCTTATTTCTAATTTCATCTTTTCTGATTTTTTTACACATCCATCTCAGTGTGTGCATTTTGACAATCCTCATCTATGAAAATGTTGTTCTTTAATTGTCTAGTATTTTATATCCCATAGAGAGTGATCCTATTCATAATTTTATAGAATCTTCTTTTCAATTTTGTATGTGTAGTTAGATCACACAATTTCTTATAAGACAAACGAAGCAATGGGATGCTCATGTTTGGTCCATTTGCCATACATGCAACTAATTAAGTTTTGAGCTCGGCTTGTTAGTTCCACATATTGAGTTCTGAGCAACTTTTAACAGAGTCAAGATCAGGCTGAGCTCAAGCTGTTTGGCTTGTTTTACATCCGCCAAACACCCTACCTCCAAGAAAGAGCTGAGTTTATTATTAGAGTTTTCTGATTAAAGCATCATGCAATAACATTAATTTCAAATTCTGATGCATGTAATGATATATTCAATGCAAAGAACCCGAAGCATGCTTTTTCCATAAAATTGGGCAGAGTATGACGTTTTCTTTCTTGCCAAGCCCACATAAACTGCTTTCTAAAGTTGCTTTCTTCCCTCTGGTAGAGGGAACTATAAAATTTTATTTTCATTAATATTATGTTGCATTTTGTTATTATGCATATTTTGCCCATGTTCCCTCTCTCTTATTTGTACTTTTTGTGTTGTGCAACTAGGGAGATGATAATCGTTCCTCATCTTCTACTGCTGAGGAGCAACAATATTCTAGAAGGAAGAACAGCAAGGGTGTTGATGTAGTTCTGGATAGGAGCAACAGGTATGAAGCTTCTTGTGTTAGTTTGAGCTCTTACGTACTTGCCTGCAACTTCATTTGAATGTGCAGTACTTTTATGGTAAATCTGGTTCTTTCTTCTATTGGTTTTATCTTATAATTTTTGCTCCTCAGATTTGTCAATAATTCTTGTAGATTATGGAACTTCTTAGTGCGCTATCCAACCAGGAAGCCTGCCCTCGGGTTATCCACTGCAGATGGAAGTGTATGCCTTAATCACTCTATGGATTATTAATTGCTTGTATATTTCTATAAAATTAATGTCAGTGGCAATGTACTTCTAAGCTGTAGTGCTGGCTCAAATGTAGAAAAGGTTCAGTGTGGAATCAAATGCCAATGGTATTTTCTATTTTAGTGGAAGCCGGTCATTGAAACTAGGCAAATCTGGTTGAACAGCCAATGCTACAAGTTGCATACAGTAATGAAACACACACACACACACACACACACACACACGCATATATATATGATAAGTAAAAGTTCATTAAAAAACCCTCAAGAGGGGACAGTACTGAAAGATATATGTACATATTAGATATATGCATTATGTAATCAACATAGACAAGATTTCCTGACACGTCTTCACTTACTTTTGTGCCACCTGCTTCCCTTGAAAGGAGAGGAAAAACAATTTCTGTTTGCTTGACTCCCTTGCAACAGGCTAAGATGGCTACATACGCATTGACAAAATGGGATATTTTAGTATCAACTTTGCACTTCTTTGATCAAGTATTATATATTGAAACAAGTAATTTGTTTCTATAAATACATTTTTTTTTAGTAAGTACTATAAATACATTTCAAACAAAAGTTTATTTGATTGAAATAGAAATTTTGCAAATCGATCTAATAATTAGAAAATGAAATACACATGTAATGTTTATTTACATTAGCAATCAAGTTTCATTTATTTATTGTTTTCAAGTGAAGCAAATCAAACAACAGAAAAACAGTATAGATTTATAAATTTAAAATTTAACGTGTCATTCTAAATCATTTGATTAATATAGTGTGAAGAACAGCTGCTAGAATGTCATAAGAGATGTAGTTTCCGTTAAAGGAAACAATGTAATAACATATTGCAGAATATGTTTAATTGTTATTTGCAAAAAGACAAATGATGTAGTAAATAAGCTTACCTCTACTGTAGAGGACATGAGGAAGGCAAAAAGAATAAAAAGGAGTGCTTTACCATTTTATTTTAATTATAATATACATTTGAGCTAATAGTTCTGTAATGATAACAAAAAGGAACTTAAAACAAGGACCGGATGCATTAGATATATCATATGTCAAAACATATAGTACACTTGTTGTAACACACAATCATAATGTGGTAAATGCAGGTGATATGCATTTATGTACAAAACTAATAAGTGATATATAAAACTTACCATATCTCTTATTAATAGTAATTGTTTTTGGCAAAGGATCACTATGGCTATTTATGTATATTATGGCATGGCTAATCCTGAAAACATGGCTAACTTGGATGGACCTTGCCATTTTGCCTAATTGATGGTTAAATTGTGAAAATTTCCATGTCATTGGATGAGCAATAGTCGCCAAGTGTTTGAATCTTTACTTCCTAGATTTTGTTATAAACCTTTGCCGTTTTTTACCCATAGGGTTTTCAATAGTGCTGAGCTAGCCTGAAGCTTGTCTGTTTGTCCGAAAGATTTAAGTCAGGCCCCAATCATTGAACGAGCTTGGGTTGGGCTGAGCTGAGCGCTTGGACATGTTTCTTGGCCCACGATTGAATTTGGTTGAGCTCAAGCTGCGCTTATTTCAGCTCGTATCAAGCCAAGCCCAATCTTACTATGGTGTGGGTAATGTTACTTTGTCTTAAAAGAGATAGAGAAACATGCTTCATTTCCTTCCCAAATCGAATAAAAAAAATCACAGAATGAAAGAGTTCAGCCCCCTTTTCCGATCATGACTCCAATAACATGCAATTTGGTAATCTAGTTTTATAATTGAAAATTGTCTTTTTAATTATGAAATTTTCCATATCTGGAAGGTAAATCTCTTCCCTACTTCTCATCCCACCCCATCTCATCCTATCTCGCCTCACCTTACACCTTTCTCCTCTTGCTTTCTTGTATAAGAGTTTTCCTGGTAATTTTAGGGTTTTTTTCTTTCCCTTTCTTTAGTCTGTTTTCATTGGAGGAAAAATCTGGTTCTAGTTGCAGTTCCAATTACTATTGGAAAATCTCTTGTATATTGTTCCTCTTTTTCCGTTTTCCTTCTGAGATTGAGGCAACCCTAGTTTGGTCTGTACCTTATTCAAGAAAATGTGCCAAATTTGGAACAGTGTGGGGGCTTGCCTCGGCATGGGCTTTCTTTGGCCCAGTTCAGTTTGTCTCAAATGACAACCCTTAGGTCATATTTATGTTAATGATTTTTTGTGTCTATTTAGAATTCATAAATGATTTGAATACTTGAAGTGTGTTAATCAACCATATCATCTAAAGCCTACCTAATCTAATTAGATAGTATTACTAAAATGCTTCTTTATCTCAATGATGACAAGGAGTTAAATGTAAATGTTTATGTTTAAGGTATGCAAAACTTAAACCTGCATGTAATTTTAATCCAAGTTTATGCAATTTTTGTTAACATTTTACAGTAATGCTATTAATTGTATTTTGAAGACTGAAGATGTTTTCCAGATCCTGAACTGCTATTTTATGGAACTTATTGAATTTTTTGGGGTAGAAAATTTTAGTATTAGTTTGATTTAGTGTACACTTAGTAGCAAGAGCGGTAATTTGTTATTTTTTCCAAGCCTGTCCTTGAGTTTTGAGTTTTGTTTTATAGTTATCTTTTTCCGTGTAGAATTTGTGAGCCTGTAAAAGGGTTCTTTTTATTGTTAATGAAGTTTGCTTGTTGCTTTTATGTTTTTCATATTTTTTTTCTTTTGGGTATTTTATGGTTAAGAACTTTATAAAAGGTTCCTCTCCCAATGCCCCTACCTCTTTCTTTTCTTTACCACACAAAAACTTTTAGGCAATTACAGAGTCTAAATTATGTCCTTGTCATCTTTCATACTAGATTGTGTCAATTATACAAAAACCAAATATTTTATGTAGCTTAAAAGAAGTGATGAATTTGAAGGAGATCAAATCGCAGTTGGAGCCTGTTGAAGTACAAGTGGAAGCCTAGATGAAGGTCTCAGATGTCATTAACCTTCTAGATGACAAAGGAGAGAATTTTGAGAATGGACTTTTAGTGATCTATCAGGAAATTTTTCTTTTGGATTTTATTTTAAACTAGTCTATCATGACTAGCCAGATGGTGGTGAATCTGGTGATGTGGTAATGTAAGTTCTTCATTGAATAGTCATAAAGCTCTCAAATGGAGAGTCACTGTAAGGGATGATGAGGTAGAAAGAATGGAAAAGGTAATGCAAGGGAGCAGTACTGTTTGGTTGAGCAGGGAGAACAAAAGGGGTGTCAGTTTACAGTTTGCACTGCTTGGTATGCTGTTAAGGAGGAGAGGAAAGAGAGTTCAATAGATGCTTATTTTTTCATTCTACGGTTCTATATTTGAAATATTTTATTTTAAGGGGCAATAGCAGAGGAGTAGCCCCGGCTCTGACTTGCCTAAATGGAAAAACTCTAAAAGTAGCGCTCTTCTTCTAGCGTTTCCTTTTTGGGTGGATTGACTTTTGGGCACTAGGAGGAATAGATTTCCTTTCAAATTTTCCTATCATTCCTCATTTCTTCTCACCCACCAAAAGAACACATCTCCTTTCCTTACCTTTCTTTTTTCTTCTGCTCCCAGTTTTGCCTTTGATGAAATGATTGATGTCCCAAGTGTGACTGTTCAGACATTGGTAATCAGCCAAAAATCATTGATTTGAAAATTCTTTGATGAGTGTTGAGAGAGATTAATGTTAAGTGAAGTTTCTTCAATGCATGATGGCCTTGACATTGTTCAATGGTCCATACTCAGTTAATATAACCTCGAATCATGATTTTTTTGGGTTTGTATTAGCGTGAAGAGGTGAAATTTGACTGTTTTTGGAAATTTTAATGTAACAATAATCCGGGATGCTTGGAGGGCTACCCCTCTCTGTGTTTGGTGGTGCATTTGGCTCGAGAGGAATCAAAGATACTTCGATGGCAAGGAGAAACCCATTTCTATGCTTAAGTTTTCTATTATTTCTACTCTCTTTTGTTAGGTCTCAGGGAGAGATTATCATTCTGTTGAGGAGATTGTTATATTTTTGGCCTCTTTGAAGGCTTGAGGCTCTTTTTGGTTTTTTCATCTTGTTTCCTTGGGTTTCGCTCCCCTTTGAGCACTTTTTTATAAAATTCTTACTTATCAAAAAAAAAACAATAATCAATTTTACTAGTTTGCCAATTTTCATAAAGTTGCATTAAATCAATACATGGTGATACAGATGACTGCCAAACTTGGTAAGAAAATATCTCGAGAAATATATGAAGATAGGATTAGGTCTCACTGGAGAATCGCTGTTTCTCTGAAACATTTTGTATGGCCAATTGAAGAGAAATAAGTCAACAGTTCAGGTTTGTATAATTTACTGAAGTAAATAATATTTGATAAGTAACCTTATATTTCTGTGGGACAGTAGAGGAAAGATTACTTAGGAATGTAGGGGTAGTCAATGTGATGTCAAAAGGTAGATGAGGTAGATGTAAACTGGTTGGTGAGAATCTCCCAACCAACGGATCCAATGCCAAGGGCATCCACAGTTAAAACTTGACCGGCCATGGCTTAATAAAGGAGAAACTAAACAATGTTGTTCGATGTACTAACAATCATGATCATAGCACTTCGCATAAGCTGACTCTTTGGGCTTCCAAATTGTCCTAGAAGTTCCTTAGTTTTGAGTGCGAAATTGGTGACAGCATACTAGTCCTTTCAAGTTGCCAATTTTAAACATGTGATGAAGTTATAGACAGAGAGAAACAGCTTGTAACAGGAGAGAATGGAACAAGAGGATTCATGTGGCTTACCAGTTCCTTTGCCATAAGAACATGGATGATAATGATAATTGGGTGTTAATTTTGATAATTAATTGGGTGTTAATATTTCTGAAAAAAAGATCTTCTACATTACATTGGTTGATGACTGTGATTAGATTTTTTTTGCCGTAAAGTAAGTTTTAGGGTTCTATCTCACATTATTTGATGTTAGGCAGCCAAAAAGGCTAGTATTTTAATAGTTTTTGCTGGACATGCTCCTTTCTTAGCCCATAGCACATCCTAGCATCGCTTCACAAATGCTGAAAATGGGAAACTAGAACCAGTTTGCGGTAAATAAGTTTTTTCTGCTATATTTGTGTTGAAAGACATAAAAATTGAAGAGAGACATTAAACATGAAGAACACTAGGATACACACACAAAGTCCAAAGGGCTAAATCACTTTTATTATATTCTCTCTAAATATTGTTTACAATCAGGACCTTCATTTATAGGTGAAAGAATACAAGTGATAAATATGGAAAATACATTGATGGAGGATTTCTAAAATCAATCCCATAAATCACTCCAATCAACATTCTGTCATAGACTCAAATCACTCCTATGATATTCTCCAACAATATGGATGTTAAAGAAAGACATAAATCTTGGGTTTCTCATTCATAGATCGATTTAATTGTTGATAACTGTCAATAGGGGTGACGATATTGTTCTTAGTGTGTAGCTCAGAATTTTGCAGTCCATAAAAATATTGGATGGGTAATCAGAAATTATTACAAACGATAACAATTCTTTGACAATAAAAAGAGCGAAGAAGAGAGTTGGATCACTCCCCTAGAAAGAACCACCTGTTTAGAGAATGCAAAAGATAGGTAAAAGTAGTTGTGATTTTTTATTTTATTTTTTGAAAAATGGACAAAAGGAAAAATCGCCATGATTTGAAAGGACTTCCTAAGGAAGTAACGAGGGCAATTGCTTAGTCTAATGGTAAAAGCTTGGGCTGTCAAGTATGATAACACAATTCCAAGTATGAGGGCACAAATAATGCTTAATGTTAGGTTTGTACCAAGTTTATCCCTCCCAACACCCTCAGTTTATGGTGATGCTTATGATATTTGTGATGTTGTGGTCCGAATTTGGTGTCGGGTCGACGATGGAAAATTTTTGACCCATTTTTTGCTCATGGGTCGTGGTCCCTAATTAGTCTCTGGTAGCCCGATATATAAGCGTGCTTAGGGTTTGGAGTGGTGCAAGAGAGAGAGACTGAAATTCGTACAGAAACAGAGTGAGGGGCTGAAAACTTGTAATCTCCGATTTTACACACAGTGAAAACTTTCGCCGGATCTCAACCGTGGACGTAGGCTGTTGCCGAACCACGTATAAATCTTTTTGTTCTTTGTGTGGTGTGTTTACTTTTCTGTCATGATTCTTGATTTTATCTTAGGTTCGTTCCATTTGTCATAACAATATTCTTCAATAAATATTAAGGTATTTATTAACGTTATTAGATTAATTTGCTCACATAAAAAGCTCATGTGATCTTTGAAGCCCTCATTCCAATGATGCCATTGTTGTTTAATTAAATTTTAAGTTGTGGTTTAGCTTTCAACTTTAAAAGATATATAATACAGCATTTTGAGTAAAATTTATATTAACGTGTAGATTTAGTATTGAGCGTAATTATGAGGCTTTTAAGTGTCCACGATATATAATATTTGTTTTAAAGGATCCCTAATTCTTGCTGATATTGCTGATATACCTAGAACACCATCATGAACTTAAGATGTTCTAATATTTGTAATGTTATAAAAGTTGGCATTCTCTTTTGAGTTTGAACTCGCTCAGAGACAATTTCTTGAATGCAGGATGTTGAACCTTTTGAACAATCTACAGTGAGTATGGCTGGAGCAGGCTCAGAGTCGAGTGAAATTCAACGTTTTGAGCTTTTAAGGAATGAGCTAATTGAACTTGAAAAACGAGTTCAAAGAAGTGCTGATCAATCTGAAAAGGAAGAGGTATCTGTTAACCATCTCAACCACCTTGTATTTAGAAATTTATCTTTGGTAGATATATATATCTCACACGGGAGGTTCCTTTTCTCTTTCTCATTTTTCTTTTTTCTCTTTCCTTGATAGTAATAATGGAGGTTTTACTAGGGATTAATAACAACCTGGGAGGAAGGAACTTTGATGTTCGTTTCATTATAAAATAATTGGGTTTAATAATTTAAGACAAAAGAATAAAAAAATAAAGAAAGAAAAAAGAATTTAAGAAATATTTTTTGTTTGTGCCTAATATAGAGCACATATAAAATAGAAGTTTTTGTCAATTATGTTTCTCAGCAAGAAGACTGTTTGTAGTACTAATAATTAGACTACAAAAACACCTGTGGTGGAGTTGGCAGGGTGTGGTTAGAGAAATATCTTTTTTTGGAGCCTAAAAACAGATATTGTTTTTTAAAACAATTTTTGGCACTAAAAATATTAGTGTCATTTAGTTATGCTGAAACTTAGTGATGGAGAACAAGGCATATAACTTTACCCAAAACCACATATGACCCGCACTTATCATTAGAGAAGGGGAAAAGAGATAGAATTAGGGATTGTAGTAAATTAGGGTTTTATTTATGGTTATGGTTATATTTAGTAATGTTTTAATTTTAAGGATATTTTAGGATTTTATTATCTAGGGTTTTGTTATGATTTTGCCTATATAAAGGCTCCTTTGTAATATGAGAATTCAGATTTGAGAAATTGAATATTATCGTTGAGCTTGCGAACTCCCGTTTTGTTCTTTTCCCTCCTTGTTCTTGTTGTTCTTAACCCCTCCGTCTATCTATCTTCTCACCTCCTTCGACTCGCCTCATCTCATCTTCTCATTCTCATCCCCTTCTTTCTGATTACTATTGGTTACTACTTGTCCTGCGTCACCAAGGCAGTTGAAATTTGTGATATTGTGGCTCGAATTTGGTGCCGGGTCGCAACGACCTGACGACCTGTTGGATAACCTTTGTGTGGAAATTTTTTCGACCCATTTTTTGCTCATGGGTCGTGGACCCTAATCAGTCTCTTGTAGCCCGATATATAAGGGTGCTTAGGGTTCGGAGTGGTGTAGAAGAGAGACTCTGATATTTGTATGGAAACAGAGTGGGGCTAAAAACTTGTATTCTCCAATTTTACACATAGTGAAAACTTTCGTCGGATCCCAACCGTGGACATAGGCTGTTGCTGAATCACGTATAAATCTTTGTATTCTTTGTGTGGTGTGTTTAATTTCTGTCGTGATTCTTGGTTCAACTTGAGTTTGTTGCGTTTGTCATAACAAAATTAGCTAAATACTATTGGAAAAGTTAATGTTCAAAACTTGTTAACAATGTGTGCTGAAGTATCTAAGAAGTATACATGCTGGAAATTTAAAAATATATTTTAAAATTATGAATATGTTTAACAAGTATTAGACACGTATCCGCGAGTATCCAAGGAGTATTGGTATCCGACACTATCCGATACGGGTACGTCGCTCTTGTAGAAGTATCCGTGCTTCCTAAATCATAATAGTGGTCCAGGGTCCTTTATTGGGTCTAGGTATGTAATTGGGTATTTGTATGTGTGATAATTTATAGGTGTAGAATGATCCAAGTAGTCAAGCTTTTATTGTTTCTAATCTTGAAGATAGTGTGATGCAAACCTAGAGGGGTAAAACCTATGTGATTTTAGGTGACATTCCTTAAATATTCTTCTTCTCTTAAAAAACAATGATCATATTTTCTTTTTTTTTATTACAATCGGTCCTAATTTATTTTATTTTTCATTCTTAACCCTAATTCAATACTCCCTCTGTCCCAATTTGAGTGTCACTTTTGGGGAGTAGAATTTTTTAAGGAGACATATGGGACATGCATTGTTCCCCTGGAAAGTTACTAACTTGTCCTTTCAAGTTTTGAATATTCAAGTTTGAAATTTTAAATTTCAAGGACATATATGGAAAGATGTAAAATATATTGTTTGAAAAAGGAAAGTGGACAATTATTTTGGGACATCCCAAAAAGGAAAGATTGACGCTTTTTTTGGGACGGAGGGAGTATCCCCAAATCATTTTTCCCATCCTCTTATCTTAATTAATGCTCAAAATTCCCAAATTCTTGTGTCCAAAATTCCTTGCAACGTATTTATAATATCGATCTGTGTCGAATCCACCCCTCCCAGCACCTGTTGTATGCGGGGTGGAATTGACCTTTTAACTTCTCTAAAATCAACTCATGTTGTCTACGACCAAGCAAATTTTTACCCTTCTCAGACCATGAATTTATATATAATATATTATTATTATTATTATTATTATTATTATTATTTAACCTTTTTAAAGCCCTAAATGGCTAAAACTAAAATTATTACATAAGCTTTGGCCACGATTTACAAAATCGTAGCACCATTCTTCTAAGGCCTCCCTCAAGGTGGCCTTCTTTACGTGGACTTCTGTCTTGGGTAGGATTTTGACCCAGGATAATTTGAGGAGGAGAACCAGGTGGTGATTAATAGATGTTATTTGTGTTTGTGTGATGAGGAGACTGTTGATCACCTTCTGATTCATTGTTGCATGGCTAGGGGATGTTGGGATTTGATGATTGGGTTATTTGGGATCCCGTGGGTGATGCCTTGCTCCACTAGAGGGTTGATTGAGGCTTGGAGAGGGTGTTCAGTGGGGACTCTCATCCGGGATGCTTGGAGGGCTACACCTCTTTGTGTTTGGTAGTGTATTTGGCTTGAGAGAAATCGGAGATACTTCAATGGAAAGGAAAAGCCTATCTCTATGATTAAGTTCTCTATTCTTTCCACTCTTTTTTGTTGGATTTCAGGGAGGGATTATCAATCTGTTGAGGAGTTGGTTGTTTTTTTGGCCTCTTTGAAGGCTTGAGGCGTTTTGGCCTTGTTTTTTTGTTCTTGGGTCTCGCTCCCCTTTTGAGCGGTTTTTCAATAAAATTTACTTATCAAAAAAAAAAAAATTCTTCTAATTTGGTAGTGGTCTGTTAGGGTTTGTAAGATGGTTTTTTTACACACTTCACCTATGCCAACCAGTCAATTTACAGTACACAACAATGATATGTTCTTTGTTTAACATTTGGACTATTTCTATAATTTTCATTAGTTTTATTTGGTTTTACTGTTAATATATTTATATCTATCTATATGCATATAGAAAACATTCTTTGTTCTGCATCCTGCTTGAATAGATGAAGGAGCACACATGGGAAGTCACAAAGCTGATGTATGGCCACTTGTTGGAAAATGGGGCAAAACTATTAGCAACCTTATTATATTCTTTAGACACCGACCGGCATCGCATGAAGCAAATCTGCTCATCCTATTCATAATGGCTTGGAGAGGCCTTCTGTCTTTACAATTAGCAGCCTTGTATTCTTTAAAATATCTCTTACATTGTTGAATAACTTGCAATCAGCACCGTGTGTAAATTGTGCAAGTGTTGGCAACTTCAGACCCAGTTTGATAGCCTTTAATTTGCGAGCCACCACTTATTTTTTGGAAGCTCTAAAGTTGCAAAAGCACATGAAGTGCATCTATGTGACTTCTTGTAATACAAATTGTTGAAATATATAAATATATTTATATAATTGTGGAGCAAAATCCTCCACCAATCATGGTGATCCGGATAATTTCCTTCCAACTATAAATATTTCTATATAACGGTGGGAGCAAAATCATCAACCAATCACGGTGCCTCCTTTGACTATTGGTAAGGGTGGCAATTAGTGTTGGCGTGTCGTGTTCGTGTCGACACGATTACGGCACGAACACTATTAGGGTTGACACGAACAATTATTAATAGTGTCTAAGACCCTTGACGCGAACACGACACGATTATTACACGTATAACACGACACGACACGCGTAACCTGTTTAATAAATGGGTCTTGACATGACACGAAAAGACACGTTTAAGTCAATGTTGACACGAAAAACGACATGTTTATTCTACACGTTTAGTTAAATGGGTCATTTTTTTACACGAATACAACACGTTTAGTTAATCGGGTTAATCGTGTCATAATCGTGTTTATAGGGTCAAACATGACACGTTTAATTAGCGGATCCATCCGTGTTGACATGATAACGACACGAACACGATTAGCCCAAACCCAAACCCTCTTATCCCGTGTCGTGTTAACGTGTCGTGTCAAATATTGTCACCCCTAATCTATTGTACACCTTCCATATTTTTTTATCTTTACCATGCCTATATATAGGCTCTTTGTACTAAAACAAAATATAAATCTGAATAATAAAAATGTAACCTTTAGTGGCTCTTTGTCCATGGATGTAGGCCTTAGTGCCAAACCATGTATATATCTGTGTTCTCCATCTTTCTCTCTTCCCTTTTCCTATTTGCATTTCTTATTTCCGCATCCAAATTTTAACATGGTATCAAAGCCTAGATGTTCTTGTAATCCCATCTATAATTTGAGGGGGAGTGTTGGTATTATTATCATGGAGCATATTCTCTCTGTCTTCACTCTTCACATTCCATTTCTCGGCAAGTTGTAGCCATTTCCCGGCTTAGTTCTGGTCATTTCCCGGCGTTGTTCCAGCCATTTCCCCGCTTAGTTCCGGCCATTTTCCCTCGCGTAGTTCAGGCCATTTTCCCCGGCGAGTTCTGGCCATTTTCCCCGGCAAGATCTAGTCATTTTTCCCAGCAAGATTTTGTCAATTTCCTGGATTTATTTCGGACACCTTCTCATCATCTTTCGAGGCGTTTCTTTGGCAAGTTGGGCATTCATGATATTCATGCTCCAACTTGAGGGAGAGTGTTGAAATATATAAATGTTTCTATATAACGGTGGAGCAAAATCATCCACCAATCACGTGCCTCCTTTGACTATTGTACACTTTCCATATTTTCTTATCCTTGCCATACCTATATATAGGCTCTTTGTACTGAAACAAAACATAAATCTGAATAATAAAAATGTAACCCTTAGTGGCTCTTTGCCCATGGATGTAGGCCTTAGTACCGAACCATGTATATGCCCGTGTTCTCCATCTCTCTCTCTTCCCTTTTCCTATTTGCATTTCTTATTTCCGCAACCAAATTTTAACACAAATGAACTTTTTTCTTCTGGGAAATTCAGCTCTAATGCTCCAGCTGCAAAGAAAGTTCCCATTGTTTGGACTGTCTACTGGTTATTTAGGTCCTACAGCGTTGGCCAAACTTCTATACAAATATAGCAGGTGATTGTAAACCATGGTAGGAAGACTGTGGACAGTAGAAGCAAAGATGCTTTTATTGCAATCAACAAGGTTGATGCCTTACGCTTAATTAGAAACCAATTTGTATTTTTATTTTTTTTTGTTACTGATAAGTAGAATATCTCTGGCCCTTTTAGCTTTTGAAAGGATAGCAACTTCGTGTGAATGAAAGCAATGCAATCTGGCAGAACAGACATCTGGAGTTTTGCCTCAACCTGTAATATTTTTCAAATGTTCAAGGCATGACTTTCTTTAAACTCCTCAGAGCCACTTTTGGTTCTCAAAAATTTGACACTCGTGATGGAGTGTTATAAATTGTGAGAACTTCTAAAAGTTGTTCCATGTTGATCTGGTAGTTGCTAGAACGGCCAGGTAAGCCTGAGCAATGGCCCTACTGGTTGTGCTATTGTCCTTTTAATTCGGGAGTTTCCTGAAGCGCATGTTGTAACTTATGTTGCATTATTTCTGTGGAATATACAACTCCAAGTTTTGAATAATATACAATGGGAAATTGAATAAAACTTGAAAAACTACTGGTAACAGTTTTTGTATCAAGAACCATAAGAGGAAACATGCTTTGGTTAAAACAATATCAGGTATCAACTGTTGGAAAACCAAAAGCTTATTGGTGGACTTGCATTATTAAACATTGATTGCAGCATCCATCATTATTTGACATTGATTGCGCGCGCACACTTTGTAACAGTATAGTGGGATCGGTTATTTTGGTATTCTCACACTTGTTATATAGCCCTAATTCTGTAACAGTGTAGTGGGATCGGTTATTATCATTTTGAACTATGTAATTTCTTTTTGGCTCTTCATCACAGAGAAATCCCTGCAACTCTGTGAATGTGTTGTGAGATTTATATGTACCACTCGCAAGTACACGAATCTTTGCAGATATGGCTTACTTGTAAGGGTATCATACCCAAGGGACTTGTGTAAAGTAAGTTTGTCAGCAGATTTCTTAAATTCCAAATTAACTTGAAAGTAGGATAATTGAATTGTGGTGATTAATTTTAAATTAACTAAGTCGAAAAATAAAATAAAATAAACTATAGAACAATGATTAAATAGGATGTAGAAAATAGAGTGAGAGGACTAGGGAATGACTTCACCATTAACGTCGCATCATCAGTGAGTTGCATCAATTTATTGGAGATATATCATATAACATGCATAGGGAATTAATCATGGCTACAAGCACATATTAATTCAATTAGAAAATAATATAATTTAAAGCTAAGCATGGACTATCTTCGATTGGTATACACCATCTACCTATCTACTTTACTCTAAGGTGTAGCATGATCTATCTTTCTAGGTATAATCCATCAAATCTCTAACATTATATTCAGATAAATACCATTGTGTAATCATCTCATTCACAACTACAAGAAGCAAATGAGTTGAGTTCAATCACAAGATTAAAATATCTAAGACAAAATAGAAAAATATTTGTAATTGAATTAAAATTCTAAAACCGATTTTTATTGAAAAGTCAATTAAAAATCCTATAGATTACACAATCATGCATGATAAAAATTGTTCTCCAATAATTAAATACAATCAAATCAGTGTGCTAAGTTAGGGCTACATCACAACCCTAGCAAAGCGTTTAGCCAAGCATGACTGGAATGGAATTCGTCATGCTTGAGGAAGACATCTTCACTGCCATGAATCGATCTCTTCATATAGAAGACATACATAGAAATTCTGTCAAATAAGAACTCCAAATTTCGTACAGACTTCCAGGCCAATTTTGACAAGGTAAACAGCTGTTTTAGGGAATCTTCGTGAAATACAGAATTGTAGCTCTTTGAGTTTCCTTTTAAACTACGCGAGAATTTAGCTGTTTTGACACTCGAGGAGAGAGATACAGCCAGATTACCAAAACGGGTTCAAGTTACTAACTTTGGCGAAAGTTTCCTTCTTGGAGAAGAATTTTTCCTTTTCTTCTTCTTTCCATTCTCATCAACTTGTGGCTTCTTTTGGACTATTTTCTAAGTATAATTAGACTTGGATCTTCAACATTGCTCGGTCCCACGGAATGTCATCTTTTAAAGCTCAGAATCACTGGTCTTGACTGATTTTACAATTGAAGCCCTGAAATAAATAAAAATAATAAAACAATGTAAAATCACAAATAAACTATTATTAAAAGAATAAAACATGCAAGTAAATGGGCTAAAATGTATAACATTTAGTGCCTAACAGAATGTAACCCAAGTTTTGGGTGAACAGTGAACCATGTAAATCTGCATGTTCTGGTTTCTCTTTCTGTTAATTTTCGCAACAGGATCAGCACTTTGTAATGTCCTTTTTTTTCCATCTTTATTTCCTTGTAAAATTGGGCATATTTTGCATGAACTAGGCACTTTTCTGAGACATGGAGTGTTTAAGCTAATATACATTCTTGGTTCATAATCATTCAGCCTTGTAAAATAGGCTATGGCCGTAGATGTGAATTTGGCTTCACTTGAAGCTTACTAAATATACTTTTCTGATCTATGAATCATCTTCTTGTAGTTGCCTTCTTACTTATCACTGAGGTTTTTATTCAAGTAGTACAGTTCAGTTGATTTTTCATGTTTACTTTTCAGGATGAACTTAATATGCGTGACTCTGCCAGTTATGGTGATGAAGCTGAAGGAAGGCGATTGCTTCAGGTTCAGAAGAAAGAAAGTATTATTGGAAAGTCAATTGATAAGCTTAAAGAAACCAGCACGGTATGGATCTCTTACCATTCTTCATTAGTCAAAGGATGAGATATGGTCCACAAATAGCATATACTATTGTCTGGTCATCAAATCATACATTTAGTTTAGTTTATTTATTTATTTTTATATCAGAGTACCCCTCTGAATTGAGCTTCATGGTACTTAAAACATCTCCCCGGAACACTAGAGATATTCTCATCTTTTACATTAGATATTTGGTTCAGGCAATATATTGTACTGCTGTTCTGAACATGAAAAAAGAAAAAAACTTTTAGGATGACAGTAGCCAATAAGGAACCATGGAATTTTGGTTTTTCTTTTCACATCATTCAACCTTATTGGTCTTCTATTTGTTAGGGTGGGATTTCCTTAGGAATTGTTATACTTGTTTTTTTGTTGCGAGTACTTACTTCTCTCCTTTTATCACTTATTTTTATGTTGCTTTTTGTAACAGTCATAGGGCTGCAATGGAGCCGAGCAGATTATTTGACTGCTTGAACTTGGCTCAACCACTCAAACAGCTATTCAAGTTTTGGGTTGAACCGAGATATGAGTTTTCAAGCTCGATCCGGACATTGCTTGCCAAGCTTGAGGTTGGCTCGTTTAGCCAATCTCGAGCTTTGAGTTCAAGCTCATAATCGAGCTTGAGTTGGCTTGAATTTGTGCTTGAGATCAAGATTTTTAAGAAGAAAAAATTGTTATAAACTTAAACAGATAAACCAGTCTTAAAGAAGTTGTGAACAAGTTTTAACGAGCTTGTTCCCGAACAGTCATGTTCATGAGCCTAATGAGTTGAGTGATAATCATTTACTTAGCAAGCTCAAAAATGTTGTTTGAGCTCAGGTGGTTTACTTAGCAAATAGTCACAAACTAAGCTCTTCTTAACCCAAGATTGAGCTGTCCATGAATAACTCAGTTCATTTGCAGCCTCAAAATGCACAGAAGTAGAATTTTATGTCTACCTTTTTATATAGGTGTGCTCTAATGTAGGTAAAATACTCGTCTAACTACTATAGTAGGTATGTTAACCTCATTAAATACGTGCACGCCTTAAAAACTACCAAGAAATATGTCACTGGATGGATGCACAAGTGCAAACTATCCATGGATAAGGTTAATACGAAGTCCATACATGTAGGATATTGGTGAATGTTAATTTAATACTGTTATCTGTTATGTAGTGTCTGAAATCATTGTCTGATTCAACCACCTGTGTAAATATTCTTTCTTTTCCTTGGCCTTCCTATGCTGTTTGCAGTTGATGTATTTAATTAAGAAACTTGTTTATTTCTTTTCCTCGACTACCAACATCTAATTGATGCGCATCTTGTTGTCAATGAGCAGGATGTTTTGCAAGGGACTCAGCTTCTAGCCGTTGATGTTGCTGCAGCTCTGGGATTGCTTAGAAGGATCCTAGTAGGGGATGAGTTGACAGAGAAAGAAAAGAAAGCTCTCCAAAGAACTTTAACTGATTTAGCATCTGTCGTTCCTATTGGTTTTCTTATGCTCCTTCCTGTGAGTTCAAACAATCTTATAACTTCAATATTTTTGGGGAACTTTATGAATTAGTGCCAAATTTGTACGTTATTGTGCATCATGAGAAGGGGGTACTTTTCTTCTTCTTCTTTATATATATATTGTAATGAATAATCAACCCACCCGTTGGCCACTTGGGTTTATAGACTTCAAATGCATGCAATCGCGCCCAAATTACATGCAACATTTAAGTCAAGGCTTTACCTTCGACGAGACTCGAACCAACGACCTTAAAGTAGTACCCCAAAAGGCCTTACCAGCTGAGTTGCCCATGCGGGCTTTCTTTCTTCTTTCTTATTTTTCTTTATTATTTATTTATTTGTTTGTTTGTTTTGGGAGGGGTGGGGTGGGGGATCACTTTTCCCCTTTGTGAATCTTATAACTTAATATTTTATCACTTGTTTTTGTCAACATGTGAATTACTTTTTGTTACGCCCGCTTTACCTTCTTTATCACTCGTACATCCATATTATCATTTATATGTTCACATGTAGAGAAACTATTCAGATGCATAGAATAACAAAAATGATCTGTATGTGGGCAGAGTGATCTGAGGAATAGAAGTGGTTATGGCACCCACCTTGTCTAAACTAAAGCTAAGCGAGACGAACCTCACGGGCCCGTTGCCGGTTTGGCTGGTTTAGGGTATTGTTATTTGAACAAAATAAAGCCATTCATCCAACTCTTTTCAGATATATGTTCATCATCTTCTTTACCCGGACTAAAATATGTTTCTTCCACACATGCTCTATTTCATTTACATAATAATCATTTAGGCATTTACATGACTAGAGGAAACGGTCTCTCCAAGTTTTAATTTTTCTTGGTCCACTCAATATAATCTAAGGGTCTGAGCTGTAATTTCCGTCTTGCAGGTTACTGCAATAGGGCATGCGGCCATGTTGGCTGCAATTCAAAGATATGTACCAGCACTGGTGCGTATTTCATCCGAGTTTTCTTGTTTAAAATTTTGGATTGTGCCCAAGTGCTTATTGGATGTTCTCTGGCAGATACCTTCCACCTACGGACCAGAAAGGTTAGATCTCTTGAGGCAGCTTGAAAAGGTGAAAGAATTGGAAAGCAGCGAGATGATCCTGAACCCAAATGAAAACACTGAGGAATTAGTCTGAGAGGCATCACACCAGTTCCTTTTCCTCACAATCGAGCAAATTCTCTTCTGCTTTCATCTTAACCTGACTATGAATCCCTCTAATGGTAGCTGAGTATGTGTCTGGTATGCCAGGTGGGCACCAGTGAATGCAGTCGTGTGGAGAAGGCACCGGAGTGCCTGGCTAGTGATGGCTTGAAGGGTGACCTTCTTTCCTAAAGTGGGTTGTAAGATGTTTTTAAGAACTCTGCTTTTTTGTTAGTAATTTCCATCTGTGTAATAACGTCATAAATAAAAAGATTCAGTGGCTCGGTTTCCAGTTTTGTGTAGTCTGTATATGTAGCTGTATTAGTGTCACATATACCCACTTTTTCCATGCTCCATGTTCGCAATTTATGTTCAAAACCTGGAGTTGTAACACAACATGCAATATGATGATATAACCCTGAGGCGGGTTTGCTAGCAACATTGTGGTGTGGCTCTCACTTGGCACATAATAGATTATTATTGCATTGGTTGTGGGCAAACAAGTAGAACAGCATAAACAGAATAGTGCGTCTGAGTGTGTGAGACAACACTTTTGCCAAATTCCATGGCTTTTTAAGGGAAGGGTCAGCGGTCTGATATACAATCAACAAAGATAAATAAATGAATAGGTGCAGACTTGGTATGTGCACATTTTAATTCTTCTTCTTTTTTCTTTTTTCTTTTGAAAAGAAAAAGAAGGCAAGTAACAAAATCATAATAAATTGGTTTTTACAAGAAGGCAAGTGACAAAATCATAATAAATTTGTTTTTACTATATATATATATATATTACTGGATGATGATACACGTCTAGTTGTTTTTACTAAATTAGACGAGTTTGGGTAGAAAATGTAATAAAAACTATCTAATGTAGAGTTAATTATAAAATAAAAATAAAAAATTGAATCATAAAATATGATTAGTCGCAAATTGTCCCATTGTCTTGACTGTTTTTCATTAAATGATCATAGTACCCTTTCTTATTGAATTACCTTGAAGTATTTTTTGTGCATAAAACCCCCAATCTATCAAATTTAGTTGGAAAATGCTCCATTGCGTTGACTAATTTTCATTAAATGACCATAGTACTCTTTCTTATTGAATTACACTTAATTTATTTTTATTGTTGAAATAATTTATGAAAAAAATTGATATTAACTTGATGAAATATTCTCCATTAAATTCCATTAAATTTGCGTAATTTTGCCTTTAATTTTGAAGTTAATTATTTAAATAAAAATCTTAACTAGAAATTTTGTAAGTAATGTAAGTAATTGCTTAATTTTGAATGAATATATTGCATAAAAAAGAAGAAAATTTTTATTTATGTAATTTATTAATATTGCATAAAAAAGAACAGCCAAATGAAATAGACATAAAGAACAATTGGAGTCGATACACACTGACATGTGTGGTCTTATGAACATCCAAGCAAGATTACTCAGATGCAATCGTATAGGACCAATTACTAACATAAGCTTGTTAAAAACACTGCAAGATGAGGAGATATGATTTAAGGGTGTGGCATGGTCCATCATCTTTTGACATAATTTATTTAAAGTCACACATAACATGCCTATAATCCTATTTCATGAAAACAATCTTCATTGTCAGTATATCATCCTCTAATTTGCACGGTGGATTGGAATCCAATTTGATTTTTTGCGAAGAGTGTTTTGATAAGCATTGAATATTGCATATTCGAATCTCTAAATATACGTATGGACGAGTTGTAGTCTCGTGAGGATTTCCAGCGATGAAATTTACAAACATCTTAAACACTGCTTTAATTGTACAATAAGATCATTCAAACCTGTTTTCACATCATAATAATTTTTATTTACTCAAGATATTAATTTTGCATGAATATTGTATAAAAAAGAAGTTATTTTTTTACACTAATTTTTTTTTTTTTTTTTTTAAAGTAACTATAATAAGTTTTATTATAATGAGTTAATAATTTTAGAAAATGGTAGCTACTAATCTATTTATTATTTTTTATTTTTATGATAAATTGATAATAATTATAAAATTAATGTAAATGGTATAATTAATTTTTTAATAAGAGAAATTATAATAAAAAATATTTTAATAAGAAATGATAATTTTAATAAGAAAAGGGTAAAGTAATCTTTTGTGATGGATTTGTCCACGGGGTCAATTTTTAGTTCAAGGGTTATTTGCCTAATTTATTATAATTTAGGAATTTTATATACGTTATTTTTAAGAGGCATTTAACGGCTACAAGCCGTTGGCTTTTTTTTTTTTTTTAAATTAAACTCGTTGTATAGATTTAAGAAAAAGAAATGTAGAAGCGGGTAAAACCCAAACAAAAACAGTCAGGGAGACCAAGCATTGGAGTCAAAACAAGAATGATGCCCTACCTCAAGACAGAACATACAACATTGATCAGAGACATTCCGGTGAGCAATCGAGGGGCGGCGAGTTGGTGCCATCCCTCCGATCTCTCAATCTGGCTCCGGTGGTGGGCGTATGAAGCTAGAAGGAAGGTCCCAATCCAGTTGCAAGCGTCTGTTCAGTCCTTCACATGTCTGGTAAGTAATATCTGTCGAACCATATCTTCGAATTACTTTAGGAGCGCCATCTGAAAGCATCTCCGATATTTATGTTTCCGATTACTGCGTTCAGTCCAGATTCGGGTAGCCGTGGTGGAGATAGTTAAGGAAGAAAAGGTCAAAGATTTAAAGATTATAGGAAAAGTAGTAGTTGTCGGACGGTCCTGATGTGAATTCTACAACATTATAGGAAAAGATTTAAAGATTAAGGTTTTTTTTTTTTTTTTTTTTCCTCTCTTTTTGTTTAGATAGAAAATTTCTCTCCAAAAAGGGGAAAAAAAGAATTTTGTTAGGTAAGCAATCTAGCAAAAAGTATTGGGACGATATTGTGTATTTAATGGGTACAAAAATAATTTTAATTTATGTTCCTGTTTTTCTTATCATTTTTTGGATTCCCAAGAGGTATTTTTCTTATGATACTTCAAATAAATAAATAGATAAAGAAGATAGAAAAGAAAAGAAAAGAAAAAATTGTTTGAACATGAAATATGTCGTCTTTACTTTTCCTTTCATTTTGTTGAAGCTTGTATATTTTACCGTGATACATGCAATACATGTGCAGCTTTAAATCCGGATTTATTTGATTAATGTTGATCTGAGCAGTGGACCCATTTAATTTATTGAGATCTTTTTAATGGGTTTACCAGACGTTTTAACCAAAACGAAATCAGTTCAATCCACACCCTCCCTTTTGTGAGTCCTAGCACTATATGTTCTGTCAATTTTAGTGTATTACAATCAAAGAATATCCAGGTTTTTCTGAACTTGGAGTAACTACACATTAGTTTTTTTGCTTTTTGTTTTTTTGTTTTTTTTTGGGTAAGCAAAAAATAATTAGAATGATTCACAATTGAGAAAGGAACACTTTGATAAGAAAAAACGACCACATCCCTCACTTTAAAATGTTGTGCCCAGGGGCGGAGGGAGGGGGCCAAAATTTTTGAATATTTTTTTTAGTATAGGCTAAAAACAAAAAAGGTATAGGTAAGTGCATACTTGGCCAGTTGGCCCCCCAGAAATTTTTCTTTAATGGGCGTCTAACAAAAAAAATAATAGTTATGTATTTATATATATATAAAATTAATTGATGTTAAACGAGATAAAGTACTACTAATAGATAGATTGATTAATACTTTCTATTGTTTTGAGGCCCCCTCTCAAATTTTTTTTTTTCCCAATTGAGGCTTCTTGCACTTTTTTGTTGTCCATTTTTTTTTTTTTTTTTTTTTTAGTTTTTTTCTAAAGCAAGTTTCCCACTTCAGTTTGTTCGATCTCTCATTTTGTTTTGAGTTTTTTGATCTTCGTTTTGCAGTTTCAATTATATTGTTTGCTGCTTTTATGTGAATTTCAGATGTTAATCCGTGATTTTGATTTTTGTGACTTATCTTTAGATGCAGAAGATCAATCTTTGTTTGCTTGTAATAACTTTAATCGGTTTGTGTCTTTGTGATTATTTAGTTAGATTTACTTTCACAATGGTTCATATGTTTCTGCTATACTGTTTAGAGTCAAATTCGTTACTTATCACTCTAACAATTTCTTTTGCTGGTCGGTTCTAAGTCATTTTGTTTTTAGAGACTTATTTATAGTAAAAATCATGTTTTGATTTCTTCAAAGTCTACTTTTTTTCCCTTGCCAATAGATTTTTCAGATCGTGATATTTTCTGAAAATTTGCTTGGAGCGTTAGCATATAAGGCCCTCTTATTATTTCTAACATTTTACGTTTTTTGAAAATCGAAATTGCTTTTGTTGTCGTCTTCGTCATTCTCATCTGTGATTTTTTATTTTATTTTTAAACAAATTTTTAAAGGTTTGGCTAGATATATTTTTGTATGAATATAATTAAATGGTAAAATATTTTTGGCTTAAATAGTCTTATATCAGATGGTAATGTTGCAGAACACACCCCCCAACAACCCCCCCCCCCCCCCCCCCCCCCCCCCCCCAACCATACAATCCTGGCTCCGCCCCTGGTTTTGCCAATACAACATTTTAATGGAACATTGGCTTTAATAATGATCTAATGGAACATTGCCTTCTGCTTGTATTTTGGCAGAGCATTTTCTGATAGAATACAACTTTAAACATTGTGTCTTTGTTCTATTTTACATTTGGCAGGAGTAAATTAACCGTATATACCAAAGCTGTTGTACGTTTAATTAACAACTATTAGAGGTAATTTTTTGTGGTGAGACATAAGAAAGTGAAATAGGGGAAAATTCAATGGTTGACACACTCTTTGGCTGGTTGACAAAATGAATGATATTGATTGCTTAACGAAGTTCAAGAAATCATTGTTACTAATTTAATACTTGTAGGTTCTGTTGTTGAACATTTCTGTTCCATCTTCCTTCCCAACAACAGAGATTTAACTAGACTTCAGAATCTGTGTCATTTGAAACATTTATTTTATTGGTCACACTTACTTTGTCTACTTCCTTTTAGAAGAAATTCTTGTTGGATTATATGTACATTTAAAGCTATTGAACTGGTTTAATTTTTTGTGGGTATAGCAATAGGCTGTTATCACAGTGGAAATGACGAGAGGAAGCATCTTCCTGGATTTTTATGCCAGAACATTCGTAAACACTTCTTTTACCTGTTTTTTATACATGCCGAAGTACCATATCCAAGAGCTTAGGCCTGTTTCATGATTTCATGGTTGCAAGAGCTTATGCATATATAGATGCACTCTGAAGTTTCTTAGATTGGAATCAAGGAGGTATACAACAAATCACGGAGAAGGAAGATTCTAGATATCATGACTCCGCCGGAAGAGGATACCACGAAAAATTGAGTTGATCTTTTAAATGAGTGGCAATTTTTGGGACCTTCAAAATCCATCCCTTTTGACAGATATAT